AAAAAGAAATCTCAGTCTTGCAGTCTCTTGGAGTTTGTGTTGATTCATTTGCCAAAGAACCTTTTCTTCAGAGGAAGATAACCAGGATCTTCTTATCACTTCTCTTGTGTACTGTCAGATTTAACTTTTTTTTTTCTTCTATACAAAAAAGACATAAACCATATTCATTTTCATTACAAAACCCCTTCATTATTGTACTGATTTTTTTTTTCATCATGTGTAATGACTAACCAGTAGACTCAATAAAAAAATTTAAAAAAAGCCTACAGGATGCTCTGTTATGAGGCTGGTTTTATTCCATTAATTTAAGTCAATCTGTGACGAAGCATTATATTTTTGTGCAACATCTGCATAAGGTTCCCTCTCCAAGGGACTGCTGTAACTGTTTCTTTTCATTTGGTAATATCACTCCCATCTTGTTTGTACTAAACTTCATTCATATGTTGTTGGAGAGACGTGGGATGACTGCTCTACTCCTCTGTACTAGTCAGTGCTAATAGGATGAGAACATAGAAGGTGGTATGTGAATATATTGGCTGTGGTTTACTTCCTAGGGAAGGGAACTCCAGTTTAAATTTATGAACTGAATCCTATTTATAAATTCCACAGTCAATTTAATCTGGTATAAATCAGCTCTGGAACAGAAAGGGGCTGCCTATCAAATGGCCATAGCTGCTTATCCTTGTCTCCTACTTCTGCCAACACTAGTGCTTACGAACCACATCAGGGAACTGATCCAGATGAAAATTAGCAGGGATTTTTTTGCAAGATGAGTTTTCATTCAGATGAATTTCCTGCTCCAACTCACTCGTGACTGCACAAACAATAATGGCAGTGTAAGGGTGGCAGTATGAACAAACAGCACATAGTGAAAGACAGAGGGGGACTCATTCTTTTAAAAGCAACAGATGTTTATCCTGCTTAAGTTGATCATGGACCTGTGGCATTAGTTAAACTTGAGCCAGTCTCTCTATGGATTATCTTATTTTCCTGCTTCTTACTTCCTTGAGTCAATTAGTGGCAGATTCCAAATAAATGAATGTAAACCACTCTTAACCCGGAACAAAAAAAAAGCTGCTCAGGGCACTTATACTGCTCATTTGAAACAGTGCAAGCTCTTGTGCCTGCGTATGATCTCCCCTTCATACATACACTGAGATGAAAAGGCAACAAAAGCAACCACTGCACAATCGTACAGGAAACTCCTGACAGTAATAAAAGTTTGTCTGACCAGCACCTGTAGAGAAGGTCCTTCGACACCATGAAAATCACTCAGTCTGACTGCATTTAAGTTTTACATAGCCTGTAGACAGCAAAAGTGACTAGGTAGCTGTCAGAAGCCCTAGTAGCAGTTGTAGCCAACAAAAACCAATAAATTAAAAATCTCAGGATGGCTAGTATTATCTCTGTCCATCCACGATCCTTACCATTTGTTTTGTTAAACACACTGAAAGCTCTCAGCCTAGAGTGCCTGGGTCCTGCCCTGTCCTGAGAGGACAGTAAGTCACCAAGCCTGACAGTTTTGCTTCACTAAAATCTCTATTCCCAGGAATACAATAAATGTCTTGGGGTGGTAGTGGTGGTGTGATTGCTTTCCACTGTTTTCCCCGATAGTCTGTATAACTGATTTAACTTTCCTAAATCTGATTAAAGATCTGGCCCAACCCTAAACTGTAATTTGGGAACCTAAAGCTTCCTAGTCACTGGCCATCACTGAATAATCCTTTCTCAGGTTTTTCAACACAGCCCCCAGGAAGCCAGTGACACCCACGTTTTCTTCATCCTTGTTTTTTGGTTTTTTCTTTTTTTTTTTTTTCCATTGCTACCTCCAGTCCTTAGGCACCTATTGATTCTGAATCTTTAGAAATACTGAGTACCTACACAGGAATACAGTTGGTATGAAACACTAATATTCACAAAACAGCTCATATTATCCACACTTCACATTTCAATGTAGTGGTCAACTTGCAAGTTGGGAAAAGGTGCCAAGACTTACAGTGCCCTGGATAAGCACAAGAGGAGTTATGTGGACTAATAGAGTAACACAACCTTTTCCTGCCACCCTTATCCATATAGGCTCCTTGACCTTCTGTCAGAACTAACAGCAGTGAAGGCCCTTAACTAATGGTTAACCATCTCCTGCGTACAAAGGTTTGCCTGAAATGCTCAGGACCAGCTCCACGGTTGGCTCCACTCTTATCTTACTTGAAGCCGATAAAGGGAGCTCTACCTCTGCTGCAGCTCCTTGCAAATCCCTAGGCAGAAGCAATCACTTTCTGGCAGATTCTATCAACAACAAACAGCAGAGCTTTTCCACAGTGTCACACCAATCTCACCTCTATAGGGCAGTCAGGCAACCGCAGCATCTGAGCAATTTATGTTGTCCCCATTCCTATGTGTGCCTTGCTGGTGAGGCTATAGGGAGAAGGAAGGAAGAAACAAGGTATCACAGTGAGAAATGTTTACCAACTGCTTTACAGTTCCCCAGATTGTTAGCTCTTGCAGCTACAGGGATGACTTCTGATCTTAAACAAATGGCATAGGGCATGAAAATTGCTCAGTATTTCTTTACCAGCATTCCCATTTTGTAAGTTAGCTCCAGTATAGGGCTGGGAGTCTGATATCCAGGAAAGCTCTTCAGAATAACTATACTGACACTGCATTTAGTAAAAAACCCAGTAAGTATGATATTCCTGTGTTAACTTTTCCATTTATCTTTTCTGCCTTCAATCTGTAGAAGGGGGAAAACCAACAGACAAGATGCTAAATGGCAGCATTTCAGCATCTGAACGTTGTAACTTCAAGCCAAATTGAAATTTGTTTCCTAATATAATAACAAAAAGCAGCAAACAAATGTAATTACAGCTGTTCTTTTTAAATTCAAAATACTACCCCTGTTATGCAGATACTGAAAGCAAGAGCAGTTAGAATTGTATGTTCTACAAGTAAACATTTTCATACGTTGATTAAATAAACATACATGTTTTGTAAATACATGCAAAAATGACATCTCTTTCATTTTGTGTGAAACTTACAATTCTGATTCAGAATTATCATCTATTGTCACAACAGTACTGAACACATATGATAGGTTTTAAGCGACTACCTAAACCTTAGCTTAGAAGTTCTTGTGAATCACAGCAGGTAGAAGCAGATAGAAGAAAGCAATCTGCCTCTTCAAAATTGTAGCTTTTTAAAATATGAAAAACAAAATCTCTTCCTGGATTAACATGTTGTGATTTTTATTGTAACATCCTTTCTATTAAACATTTTACCTACAAGTATTAGTGTATAAGTTCTTCTAGTGCTAATTTAGCTAACTTACATGCAAACGTAGATGACAGACTCTCAGTTCCAAAAAACAAGGTTCTTCAGTACACTTCTGGACCAAGAATAGCTTAATCTAAATCAGTTTAAATTAGTAATGAGCATAAAACACACTATGAAACAAATCATCCTGAAGCTAAAGGAGTTAGTCTACATCTGCAAGAAAACATCTGAGATAGGTAGATCAATTGGAGTCAATAGCTGTACCAGCACTGGGAACGCCTTATCCACTAGGACTGATGTAGTCCAGCAGAGCACTCCCTACAAACATTACCTGCAACAGAAAGAGCCTTTTCAAATCTCCAGCCATACACTTCCATGTTCTTGTTGGAGATCACACATGAGACATGAAAGAGCATGTCCTTGGAACACTTTCCATCTGCCTCAGTGTCAAGCAGGTTGAATTAATTTGGACAGTACTCTGTAAATAAAGCTAGTTTTTGTACCAAATTGGATAAGAGATGATCATAGATTCCAAACCGTTAGTTTAGATGAGACAAAGCTGACAACTGTCAGCCACAGAGAGTTACAAACAACAGGAGATGAAAATGTCTTTAGCCAGTAGAGCCATTTCTTTAGTTAAGCTCTGACCCATATGTCTGATGTGATCGTATATCTAGCCAAGATGCAACTTGTACTAGCTAGATTTGCACTGTCATAGTGAAAGCATGACTCTTCCACATGCTCCCCCCACCCAAACAAAACAAAACAAAGCTGTATTGCTGCAATTTCCTGTTGCAGCTTAGGTAGAGGCAATGTGCACCCCCAGGTACAGGTAGAGCCTTTTGAAAAAAGACTGCCCAGAGCTGCTCTTTTACCAATTTTTGCTGATGTTGCTGAGCCAAAATAAAGTTGTGAATGGCTCTAGGCCATTTCAGCATACGTGGTAAATAAAATCTAGCTATCTGCTGATACTGTGTGTGCTCAGGCTAGGAATGCTTCACTAATGGGTCTAATCTTAATAATAGTAAATAAGCCTCAGAAGGAATTTCAGGACTATTAACAGCTCTTGAGAGACAGCAATCTTCTGTCAAGAGCCTTGTGCTGCTTTCTGTAATACTTTTGGCAGAAATCTCTAATGCAGGCTCTAAGGAGTATCGGTGCTGCAAGTGGCACAACTTCACAGAGACCCCTGTGGAAAATCTTAGCAGAAACAAAGCATATAAGCAGGGTTGAAGGGTTTTAACCTCTGTTATATACATGCTGCAGTTTATTATATACCTTTTGCAGTTCTTCAGAGCGATATTTTCTTTCCCACCCTGTAAGTGATGATAACAAGTTTGGGTTTGGTTTGGTTTGGTTTGGTTTATGTTAAGAAATAAACTGGAGTTAAAATCTTCTTGGCTTGAGCTTTTTTGTGGGCATGGGCCCTTAAGTGTCTCCTCAGCAGTAGGACCCCCCACTTTGCTCCACCCTTCAGCCATGCATGTAAATCGGGAGCTGGCCAGGGAGTCCCAGGTCGGAAAGATGGTCCCTGCCGGCCAGTGAGGGCTCAGCAAGCGGTGCAACTGGAAGCTATGTCTCTTCGACGTTGCTGTAAACTGGAAAGAAAGAGAAAAATTTCATCCACGCTCCTTCTCTCGTTGCCGTGCATGGTGTGAGGACTGCTGCATGCAATAGCCTTCAGTGAGGGGCTTTGGGCCTCTTCCTTCTCAATCTTTCCTGGCTGATCTTTAACGGGTGTTTCAGGCTGAAGAAAGATGTACTGGGGAAATCATGTTAGGTAAGGCTGCCTGAGCTGCCAGGGACCTTCTCTAGACAAGGATGTTTTTCCTTTTAGCAGTGCTTTTTTGCTTTTTTTTTTTTTTTTTTTTCTTTTCTGATAATCAGGGTAGGAAGCTGAAAGGAACATATGTACCTGGAACTGCGGGTGAATTGTTTTCCTCTTGCGTTTGCTGCTTTTTTGTAACTGTTGGCAACAACGTGTTGTGGTAAAGGCATGGTACATAAAGAGGCATTTTTGACTGGTTGTCAACCAGCAAACGTATGGAATCTGTAGCTTTCTCGAAGTAAGATTAATCTGTATATCCCTGTTCTCTGTCTCCCATCTCTCACACTCCCAACCTGCTCCCCGCCACGTTTTCAAGTTTAGGTATTTTTAATATGTTAACTTGAATTGCCGAATTATTGCTGGCATAAAATATGTATAGTCTATATTATCAATGTTTGATAGAGCTTTAGAAAATCTTCTCCCGCCCAGCCCTGCTCACCCAAGCTTCGTTTTGGTGTTTGTGCCTTATTAGCACAAATTTATTTCAGCTCTTTGGATTGTTTGGTTTGTTTTTTTTTTTTTTTTTTTTTTTTTGTAGGATTCTTTTCACTGTGACTCTGCTCTGGCAGGCTGTCCATTTAGGAAAAGGTAAGGAAAACTTCGTGTTTTCCCCACCCCTCCGTGTGTACATTTGCAGTATGCATTGCTTCCTTACAAGCTAGTCTTCTCTTCCATATCTTGTACTTCTTTTCAAGGCCGTGAAAAAGAAGAACTTGAAGAAAATGTGAAAAGTCTCAATGCCACAGCGCAAAAGCAGCAACCAAAGAACGAAGGGACTACTATAAATGCTTTCAGTGACATGAATCAGAGTTATGAGAGCAGAAAGGAACAGAATTCCCTGGCAGTGGTACCTTTTACTGGGATTACAGAGAGTAGGTAACATTATTTCTTTAAACAAAGCCATAGAATGGCTTATTAAAATATTGCACAGCAGAAATGTTTTGACTGTTGTCCGGGGAGATTCCAGCCGTTTGATTTTCTGTGGCTGCTCATTTAATCCTTCCTGTAGCCACTTAGAAAATGGTGATAACAATTTTAGGTAGAACTGGGGTCTCTTACTTAGAAAATGTGATGGAAAAGAGGAAAAAATATTAGGAATTAAGAAAGGGTTGGTCCCTTGGATTCACAAAGGCGTCTGTAAAATTGTCCATTTTAAAAAATTCACTACATTTCATGACCAAAAAAGAGTTCAATTTTAAAAATAAAATAAAAAAAATAATCGAGCTGTCAGAAAACAACAATACTGAGAAAAGAAACAAGAACAGACTTATGTTTCCTTCCACATATATCAAGTTTTAGCTTGGTACTCAATTCTAGAAGTCTGAGAAAGGCATGAGGAAGCTTTCCTCTCTCAAAACTGGACAACTCGTTCAATAACAAAGCTTCTTTTCTTCACACATAAGCACCACTTCCCTGTGACAATGTCCCGTTTGTTAGAGTGACTGAAACCTGCCTCTGTCAAAGTGAAATATTTCACTTGAATGTATGTTGCTGCTGCTACAGGAGTTGCCAGGCATTGCTTCTTGACCATCCTGTAATCCCTAGTAGTTTGCTTCTAATCCTTAACTAAACAAACTGGGTTTAACTGAACAAACACTCCTAACAGGCAGATAATTTTATTGTCTCTAAAGACAATAAAACTACATATCCTTAAGATCCTTTGGCAGCTGGAGAGACCTGAGAGAGACCAAGTGAGGAAAAGGGGAGGTTCGGAATCCCCAAGATGCTTGATAGGCTATGTAATTTTGTCTTGCAGGTAAAAAACTGAATAGACATTGCTGCCAAAACGGAGGGACCTGTATCCTAGGGGCTTTCTGTGCCTGCCTAAAGCATTTCACTGGCAGATACTGTGAACACGATGAAAGGCAAAGGTAAAAAAGAGACCAAAACTAGAAAGAGTGAGAGAGCTGCTCTGAATGGCTATTTTCTGTGGTGGGATCAGGGATATACCAAATGTCTCCCTTCTTGACAGCAACTGCGGTAGCATTGCCCACGGCGCCTGGGTGCTGAAGGGCTGTTGGCTGTGTCGGTGTGGATATGGTACTCTGAACTGTCTCTCAGAAATAATGCACGATAACTGTGGTAAGGAACAACATTAAACTAACCCTTTTTATCCTGGGTAGCAGATCTAGAGAGGTGGGATACTCAGAGGATGCTGTATGTCCTCTATTTAGATTTCTGCAGTGGTCTGCTTTGTTTTAGAGAATCCATCAGTTAGACAGTAAATTATACTGGGTTTGCCTGTACAGAAAAACACAGAAAACACTTCAAGATCTTTATAATTGTGCAGGAGGGAACTCCCCCAATTTTAAATGAAAATTACAGAGATTAAAACTTTCTCTGTTCTGGAAAACCTAAAAATGTCTTAAGACTTCCCACTAAACCAGGAGAATTTGTACAATTAAATTACATCTAAACACACAAAAAAATTCTTAGATGAAAGAGAAAATGGAAAGAGCAACAGTGTAAGCTGGTGTGGTAGAAGTAGAAAACAGTGTCACACTAGAGAAACAAGTACTGAAAATTTGCATGTGCTTGCATAAGCTATTTAACACATAAATGTCAGAAAACTAGCCTGAGCTTGAATAAAGATCTGTATCTTAATCTTCAAAATCTTATACAGAGTTCTAAGACTGAGCACACTTCACAGAAAATGTGTAGCCATAGTCCTTATCAATGTAAAACAGTAATACCCGGTCTCCTCAAAAGCATTATATTAAGTCTTTATACATCAGCTTGTGAAAATTCTTTTATAAAAGTATGAGTATTTTTGAAAACACAGTATCAGCTAGCATAGTAACTTAAATATTGTTTTGTAAGTGCTTTTCCATTGAGAACAGGCTACTGAGATCTAGACTATGTTCAATAATTTGAGATGACAAATAATAGGTTTACAGTATTTTTCTCTTCAGTGGTAAAGTTAGTGCAAAATATTCACACTCTTCATAGAAGGGTTTGGAGTTAGAAGGGAACTTAAAGACCATCTAGTTCCAACCCCCCTGACATAGGCAGTTCTTTCCACTAGACCACATTGCTCAAAGCCCCATCCAACCTGGCCTTGGCTGGACCTTGCCCATCCATGATGTCTCAATCCCACGCTGAAATATACTTTCCTTCAGCTCTGCCAAAGTCACTAGTTAGCAGGGACAGACCTAAATAGCTTCAAGATTCATTTCCACCTGAAGGAACTATCTGCTTCTTTTTACCTGACCAGATTCCTGAGTAGAAGTTTGTCCAAGGTATGACTCCTGAGTTATACCATCAACCCAGAAGTAAATATAAATTTAAAAAATTGAGCCTCTTAGGTCCCCTGGATATGTCCTAGTGTGTGATAAGCCCACAAATTCAAAGTGAAATGCAATGGAAAGGTGACATTCCTACCTTTACAACTACAGACAAAAAATTAAACAAAAGCAAAACAAACCAAACAAACAAAACCACAACAAAAAGCCACAGTCAAAACCACTTTTGCCTTGAAGTATTTTGTATTGACTAATTATTTGTGGCACCCAACTTGCCTTTGAGCTCTTCAGAAGAGTTAAATGCTCAGGCTCCTTGTGTGTTTACCTTTGAATCAGCCTTATTGTTTCCCATTGTAGAGCAAAAAGACATAACAGGCCTTGCACTCTACTTCTTACTACCCTTGATCACAGTTTAACATAGGCAATAAAGGTGGCAGTGAAGGGTTTTCTGTTCATCCTCTGACCAGGATCTCAGTGGCTTTCACGTGCATGTGGATGAGGCTTTCTGCTTGTGCTAATAAATCTTGCTCCTCTGGTTAAAGGAAGGGTTAAAAGGCTGCATGCAGACTTGAGCACATACCTCTTGTGAAGATCTTGCTCCTGCTTTTGCTTGGTATTTACTTTTGATTATTCTCAGATTAATGCCTGCAAGAGCTGATAAGTGCTATCAGTTGCTCCTCAAACGATCATTGATGGGACATCTATTCACATCTCTCCCTTGAGAATAGCCTCTTTGATTGGCTTTAACAGCTGATATCTTTAACTTAAGTACCTGTGAGATGTCAGAGGACTTTTAAAGTATGTTGAAAATCCTCATGTTTTAAAATTTACCTAGTTTGATCATTAATCATTTTATTATATTTATATATATATATATATTTTTTAGAACTGAAATCAGAAAATGAAGAAATTACCAGCCTGTTTTCTAATGGGCTACGAATACAGCAAACAGTGTTTGCACTTGCTTGCCTGCTCACCATCCTCCTGGAGCTCTGCTATTGGCAGTTGTGAAAATAGACAAAGGGAAATACCCTCACGATGAGTCATACAACTTTTTTCCTCCTGTGAGCTACAAAAGAGACTTCTACCTACATATAGGAGGAAGATTATGACATACTAGTTAATGCTGAAATGCTTGGATTATTATAAATTCAGATTATATAAATATTAAGTATTTATTATTATATTTTTATTACTATCAATGTCTGATTCTAACAATTTTTTAATTCTAAAGTACTTTCCTTCCAGAGGAAGCAAAAAAAAAAGTCAATGTTTTGTGCCTTAAGTATTGTAAATTATAGTAATTTCCTTTGTACACAGTACAACTTTAGCAAATAAAGCTGATTTCATTTATGAAGAGCTTTTATGTTTGTCTTTGTTTAAACTTGAAAATTTGTATCTACCATTTGTCATAGTATCATATTATGTAACAAAACAGTAAGAAAAGAGCAGAGTAGAATGACCAATCTGAAATTTGAAGAGATAAGGAGGTTTTTAAGGGTAGATATATTTCAAACCCTAGTATACAGAAGAACTCTAAAAATTGTATAGCTTTTCAGACTTTATAATTTGTTATAGCTAAACTGTACATATGCACGGTCTTGGGCAGGAAGCATAAGTTTCTTAAGAACACATAGCTGATACTTGTTTCTTTTTTGATGTTATTTTACTTCACATCCTAGAAATATGAGGTCTTTTATTTTTAAAACGATAGCAAAGAGCAGCCTCTAAACTTTTTCTAGAGGAAACTTGTCTTGATTTATATAACATTCATATATATTTCTAGGCTGTATAACAAAAAAAATGGAATGTGTAAGTGCATTTGTAATGCAAGTCTATAAAACAACAGAAACTCAGCTGGATTAAAAAAATAAAAAGTGAAGAGAAGCATAAAATGTAAATTCATTCTTTGAATGTGGAGCTACCACGTAGAAACAATAACACTTATAATTTTGTGTCCTTAAAAGAAGTTATTGATGTATAAAATCCTGAACGACTTTTAAAAGTTCAATGTATTTGATTCTTAAGATTTCTTTATTCTTTTGTGCCACAAACCAAGACATCAATCCAGTTAAGAAACAGACAAAGATGTATCACCAATAAATGACATAATATTGAGGTTGCCTTTGAATCTATGACTATTCAGTAGAAGACTTTTATAGGGAGTCATTGTGTAAAAACATATTCATGTTAAATATTGCAAAAGATTCAGGCTGTTCCTTTACACATCCTAGACGTGAGTGGAAAAACTAAGGTTTCTCACTCTTCACATAAAATGCACTAGACCAGAAAAGTTCTTTTTCTTGTTATTTCTCACAAACTCTTCTGTACCCATATGCCTGTGTTTTCCCAGTTTAGGACAATTAAATATCAAAGAGAACAGCTGGAGGGAAATAGTCATGCCTTTATTTATCAGATGCTGAAATTGCGGGAGTGCCATTGTGAAAACATCTTGGCTTGCCTTAAAGAATACCTGAGAAGTCTGTAGGCAATACAGCTTGAAATATGCTTCAAATAGGCTTTACTTTTTGAAGGAAAGCAGCAAGATATGTGGAAAGCATACAGTACAGTAGAACTATAGCTGAAGTACTACTTATTTTTCATCCCTACAGAAAACATACAGAGCCATAAAAGATTGCAATTAACAAAAGGAAAGACTGTTCTGATACAGGTTTTACAATGGAACAGCTATTTTTGTTGCAATAACATCCACAGCAGATTTAATCAGAGAAAGCTTATCTGGAATAACTCTTTATGTAGATGAGCTTATGTGCCTGCAAGAGTCACCCTGATGGAGTTGTGTATGACTTGAAGAATTACAGCAATTGAAAGGTCTAGCAGAGCAACATTTTCCTGCTGTACCAAAACATCAGTCCGAGGCATCTAATTAGAAGTAGGAAGGTACATTTTCTACAATTTCAAAGCATTGCATGGGGAACTTGGCATGCTGAATCTAATTAGTCAGTGTAAATCATCCCTCACTCTGTAAATTTTCTCCTGTGTACTTAGAAGACGTGACAGAAGGGGTTTGTTTGATTGCTTGTTTTTAAGTTATCTGTTCCTTTTCTGCCTCTATCTGTCTTATGCATTCTGTGTTACTGTAAAATCTTAAAATTACAGCTTCAGGACTGTTTTACATCTATCATACTATGACAAAACATACCCTCCGTGACAGCTAGTTGTCAAAGATGTCTATCTGGTCTTTGTGTCACAGCACTGGAAGTTGCCGAGTAGGCAGAACAGAGCACAGACCCTGTTGTCCTTGCACACCTCTGAAGCAGAAGCAGCCACAGGAGTTGAGTTTGGGAAGAAATACGTGTCTCCTTTAGTTAAAGAAAAGAAGAAGAGGGAGAAAAAAGTAAAAGCATTCAGAAGTTGTCCCATGCATACTCTCATCTACAAATTAAAATATGACTAGGAAGGAGGAAAACAGAAAGCACTGAGGAACAAAGGAAAGCACACAGTCAGTCTTTGCTTAGGTTAAAACTGTCTCTGCTTTTATCTGTCTCCAAGTGTTTGCAAGAACAGACAAAGGAAAGCATAGTTTTTCTCCCCTGCTACCATGTAGGCATGGCCAACCTTCTAACACTGCAATTAGAGGCACTTTGGTAAGGTTTGTTTGTAAGCAAACAGCAATGCTTGCTCTCCAGCCTTGTGCTAACTCATGGGCCACTCTGTCAAACATGGCATGTCCCAGCAAAATAGACATCTGTTGCCACAAGTTTATGCATGTGCGGTCTCTACATGCAGCCACATTTGGACAGGGAGAAAAACCCTCAAAGAGAAATATTTATCAAATGCTTCACAGGCCCCAGAGCTGTTAGATCTTTCCTTCCTCACAGTTGACTCCAAAACTAAAACAAATGGTGCAGCTCAACTGGTCTCCACAGCTTTGCCCCTGCAATCACTGCAGCCTGCACCACTCCTTTGGGGCATGCTGCTGATAAGGATCCCAGACTGGGGAGAGAAGTGTGGCAGTGGGGGCTGTCTCCTTTGTGAGCAAGGGCCCTCAGAGCTGGAGTTCCACAGCCTGGCAGAGGTCCACAGAGAGATGCTGCCCTGAACATGCTGCCCATTTGAAGGAAGCAATTGGTTTTGCATAAAGGCCATGTAGTGCACCAACGTTTCCTCATACAAATTTGAAAAACTAACTTGAGGGCACCAGATGCTGAGAAAGTGTCACTCATTTGGCACTTTGAGTATCTGATGGTTATCTCTCAAGGTGACTTTATTCCTAGCAAGGAGAGTTGAATTTTTGTTGCTCCTGAGAAGTGTTAATGGTGCCCATAGGTGCCAATAGCCTTCCCTCACCTAGTGAAAAAAGCCTTTTTTTTTCCACCCAGCCAAAACATTAACTGAAGTATAATTTCCCACACTTATTTATCCTGAGGTTTGTTTTTGTTTTGTTTTTTTTTTTTTTTTTTAATTGGCATATTTAAGATTGCTAAGGTCTACCCACACACATTTCATTGTGTCCTTCATTGACTCTAGTGTTCTAATGGTGTGTCAGCAGGCTCTGTATCTGGAGCACTATACCCACCAGTTCCATGTGCCTAAGCAAGCATATAACAAACTTTGTTATATATTTGGTTTCCTTTTATTGTAAGGGTGATACAGTACAGCAGACTAGCTCATGTATGGAGCATCCATGTGAACTGCAAGTAGGTTTATGTCTTGTGGAGATTTATCTAGTCACCCTGCAATCATCGCCTTTAATTCACTGTCTGTCTCACCTTTTTACAGGAGAGTCATGTATAAGCATGGAGATTTAACAACCAAGCAGTTGTATGTTTGTGCTCTGCAAAATTACCTAAGCATCATGAGCACTCCTTGTGACTGCAAAGCACGTTCTTGGTCAGACAAGACATTAAAACATGCGATTCCCTCCACATTTGGCTGAGTGACTTTGCACTTGGCTGTTGCTGCTGTGACGGAATGAAGCTACCGTATGCCACAGGTATAAAACCAGATGCCTTATGCATGTTGGGCCTTGCATTTGTCTTCAGGTCCGTGCTAGCACAGCAATAGCTTTCATTAGCAGCTGTCTACATCTGCTGCAGCCAAACAACATCTTTACAAAACTACAATTTATAAGCCAGCCAGTGAGGTTTCATTTCAGATATTATTCATATGAAAATGTACAGATAAAATGCTAGGAATGTTCCACCAGAAAAGAAGCACTGGTAAAAGCTCAAAAAAAACCCAAAAACCAAACAGCCAGAGAGGCATCGGCATTATAGTCCTACTAGTTAGAGAACGCACACTGTCCTTGCTGAACCTCCTGAATCCATGGCCTCAGAAGATCTCATTCTCTGGGCTTCACATGTTAACTGGGGCATATCTGATCGTCTTTCACTAGGCACAGAGTCTTGTGAGCAGAAATAGACATATAACCTATGAGTCTCCTAGTCACAAGACTGGGTCTGTAAGGACTAGGGGGGACATTTGCAATCCATACATACAGTTTTCTGTCATCAGACAACACAACATTCCCAAAGATTAACTTCCTTTATAGGTATGGCACATAATATCCTGCATCTCGTACCAGCAGCATATTTTTGTACCTTCTCCTCTTTATGATTCTTGTATCTGCACAGAAAACTTCATGTGACTCATCCTACTTATAAAGCATTTCAAAACGATTTAATTTAAAAGAAATCTCATATATAGACCAATGAAACAGAGAGTTCTGTCTCCTGTACGACAGAAATTATCTAGTCATATTCTAGAAAGATTTGTAGGGAAAGTTGTGCTTCTTGTTTTTGTGTGATCAAGGTTACATCTTTCCAAAAAGTATAGAAACGAGTACCATGAAACATTTAATTAAAGATGCAAAAGTGGTACAATGCTGGACAGACAATCTTTGCATAAGCATCTTTAAACAGAACAAGCAGAGAGTCAGGACAAAAAGAATATGCGTCAATGATCCTTTCCACCTGACTTTGCGCCTGAACTCTTCTGAAAATTGTTTCTTGAATCAAAAAGTTTCAAAAAAAAGGAAGGAAGATTAACAGATTTGTTAAGTCCAATGTTTTATACATCAGCTTTGTTCTTTCAGTCACAACATTATGTTCCTTTGCCTCAAACCTGCGTAATGCAGCATCAGCTTCTTGTACAAGAAGGAAATCCCAGCTGGAAAACAGTGTCAATAAACATTGTCTTTAGCTTTGAAGGTAGATATGAAGACCATGTGATGCTGAAAATTAACTGACCTCTGTTTTCCTGTATGCTATGATGGTGATGGTTTGCTAATTTAG